CGATCAACCTGGTAGACTCAGTCCAGGCAGGTCCAGTCCCTTCCTCCCAGACTGAGCCAAGTGTCCCTGCATAAGCCCCAGGTTTCAAACAGCCAACTCATGCAATGAGCACAGGACTTGGTCCCACTGCCTAGATGCCTCCCAAACTGATCAAGCCAATCAACTGTCTCACCTATTCAGAGGTCCAGCTGGGGGCCCCTCAGCCTTTGGTTCATAGTTCATGTGTTGGAATTAAACTCTTAATGGGCATTAGCTGCGGGTCAAATAGGTTTGTGGCCAGGAGCTCCTGTGATGGGCATGGGTTGACTCTAACCTTAATCCAGAGAGGGGCCTTTTTCCTCACGCTCTCCAGTATGCCACACTAGGCAGTGTGAGAACAAAGAGAAAATGTTGCCTGCTTAGGAGAAATCCAAGAGATCCCCTAAGGGGCCCTGAAGCCTCAAGGGCCCAATGTAGGCTACAGATGGCCTGATGCGCAATGTGGGAAACAGCCATAAGAACAGTGCGATTAGAAGAGGTCCCTACCACAAGCCAGAACAACTAGTGATGTTGACTGTCCCCACAAGGAGAGTTGAGTCCTAAACCCCCTGTTATGGTAGAACCTCCAACCAGCATGGCGTCTCTAGAGGTGTGAGGTCGCCCTGGAGGACACAAGAACAGAGTCAGGTGAAGACGGAGGCAGATATTGTAACTTCATCTCAAGCTAGGGTACCACAGATTACCCCAGCCAAGGGTTCCCACCCAAAGCCACACCTTGTCATAAGAAGCCACAGATTGTCACCGGGCTCATGGGTTACCACCGGAAGCCAGGAATGGACTTCCGCGGTCTCCACCAGTCAGAGAGAGAACCCTGTTTAGGCCTTGATTCTGGTAATGTGGCCTCTATAGTCTAAGCCGCCCACTGCAGTACTTGGGTACGGCCATCCTAAGCAGTCCCATCTGTCACGCTGTCCCCAGAGGGTGGCTGCTTGTGGGTTCCCTAGACACCTGCCAGGGTGTGGCCTGACTTTTGGCTCTTTCACACTGCAGCTCCAGGTGAGGCTCGTCCCCCGGCAGATGCCCCAACCAGGGGGGCTGGGCTGTGGAGACCGGCTGGCCGTCCACTGGGAGCAAAGCAGACACCTCACCTAGGCCATGGGTCTGTTGAGCCCTGGCCTCTTTGCCTGTCAATCCATTGTCCATCTACTTGTAAGCTGTCCATCTATCCATTGGCGACTCCAGGCACCAGCCCCCTTGTCTCTCAGACCAGCCTTCCTAGAAATGAAAAGGCAGAGGCCCTCAGAGTGAGAGCCAAGCCCTAAAGTAGTAGCTTTCGCACCATGCCCTCCCGTCTCGACTTGGACCGGAGCCCAGATCTGCACCCACCTGGCAAGGGGAAGCCAGCCGCTCCAGATACTTCGGAGTGACATTGGAAGCGCACTCTGCCCTGCCCTACTGAAGCTAGACTTTCCTGTGAATCAGCCAGGAGAAACTGGGGAGGCGGAGTCTCCCACTCTGCTGGTCGCCTCCTGTCATTCAACCACGAGCCCGACCTCCACACACAGGCGTGGGGGGTGGGGTGGGGGTGGGGGGGCTGTGGTCTAAGCAAACATCCAACACCAGAGAGTCCCCCAGGTCAGATCCCAAAAGCCACCTACAGTCCCCCTGGGGGCAATAAAACCAGACGGGGGTGGGGGGGTGGGGAGCTGTAGGGGGCAGTTGCCCCAACTGCCTGTCAGTGCCAGGAGCCTGTTCTCAGCCAGCAGGACCTGGCTTCCTGCCATACCTGCCCCACACACCACAGCAGTGATGGAATTCGGGGGTGGGGGGGGCACCTAATATTTCTCACCTAGTACAGAAGTCCAGCTTGGAGCCCCGAGTAACAGAGCTAGGGTCAGTCTGTTTTCATCCAGCCCTGCCTGGATGGCTTTGCATTCTTGGGGTGAAGGTAGCAGCCAGGTGCCCCCCCCCCACTCCAGCCAATACATCTTGCTCTCCAGGAGCCACATGGGAGAGCAGCACCCCCCCCCAACACACACAAAAGGCCATTTTTTTACTCTTCACACGTACTTTTTAGTTACATTCCTGACTGAGATCTCCAATTTGGGGGGTCCTGGGAGCTCACGGTACTGTTATTTAAAAAAAAAAAAAAGCCGTTGCCAGGCAGTGGTGGCGCATGCCTTTAATCCCAGCACTTGGGAGGCAGAGCCAGGTGGATCTCTGTGAGTTCGAGGCCAGCCTGGTCTACAGAGC